GCTAATATGGCTCGAAAATGCACCTGTATTTGGTGTTGACATAGACGAAGATGTCATGGCCTGTTCATTTGTTGTTTTGGTGTTGAGAGATTGCTTCTTCCCCTTATCAACATTGTTTCCCCCAGTTTGCGAGTAGTGAAACATACTGTAGCATATTGTTTTGGCTTTTGGGAACTAACTGCAGAACTAATGCAGAACTAATGCACAACTAATGACATTTGACTAAAAGGAAACAATATGGTATGTTACAATATGGCTGAAGTGGAGAACAGACAATAGAATGTAACATATTTCCAGTATAGTAATATTACTTTTTTAAACATTGTAGATGAACAAAAACACAAAATAATGAAATCAGTAAAACTAACTGGCTCCACCACTATTGAATTCCACCTGGCGAATAATGCCAGACTGTACTCTACATCACTATGAAGATGTTACTGGTTGAGAAGAATATTTAATGAGAAGCTTGCATAACCTTTTAATTTATACATATGCTGTATGAAAATTCTTAATGGTTGGTCAACTTATAATGTATTAAATGGTGTATACTATTGGAAAAGTAAATATTGGAAAATGACAGACACTGTATGAATAAACAAGATTTCCATCTGTCAGTGACCAATTAAATATTTCAGATCAGAAGCAAAAGCTGCAGTGTATGGAACCAGAATGAATCTTATGCACTTTTAACGGTGTGCATATAGTATATCAGGACGCTTTTTAATTAATAACAGAAGATGTATTTATGACAATTTTGGACATATGAACTAACATCTGCTATCCTGGAATGAATGGTGAATGTACTGTATCCCTACTGTATCCCCAATAATAAATGACTTTGTTGCTCACGTTTCATGTAATACTGTACCTTCTTAATATCAAAACATTGAACTTTTGAGGGCAATGCTAATGCTAAGATTAATATTTAAGCTACTACTTGTATTTTTTGACATTAGTATAATATTTGTATTATCAAGATAAATTGTTTAGTTATTGTCGTATGGTATACTAAACTACGTTGAACTAGTTTTCTGAAAAGTGTTGCTTTAATTTATCGATGTACAAGATGTGGAACGCGGGATTTCGTTTTGAAATCAAATGTTTTCTGTTGACAGATCGGTGAATTGGAACTTGGAAGGGGGATTTCTATTTTTGTTGATTGCATAATCTTAACCATATTTGAAAGATTTTTTTTGAAATTATGGTGGCACCACGTAAAAACTGGCACCCTATTAAAGTGTAACAATCATCCTATGTTCTTGCCATAATTTCAGTGATTTCTGTTTGGTTGGCATATAATTCACTAACGCCGTGTGCCAATGCATGTACGCTTAGCATACCTATTTTTATTGCAAAGGCTAACCACAGGTACGCAGTGCGTACCTATTTTTTATATAGTTAGCATGTACAATAGATTTTTCATATTTTTAAATATTCTAACGGCCCCTTGAAAAGCAGTTTAATCTGAAGGGATACCGTTTTTAAATAAGATGAATAATAACAATAATTTCGGGAAACCATATTGTTTACAGCTTCAACACACCTTATATATAGTTCTGGAATTCTATATTAGCTTTGTTTCGGCCTCCTAGGCCTCCAGAGGAATAATGCATCTCATTGGCAGGTGACGTCATCCCTTGGGTATTTAAGAAGCCACGATTGCAATTTTAGATCACCCCTGATGAAGACACTAGACTGGAGTGTCGAAACGTTGGGTCTTGATTATAATTCAACTGGGCTTTGTAATAATTTATTTAAACCAGAGTAGCGAGCGAAACATGAATTCTTCAGTGGTGGGGCAAAACGGCCAAAGGGCCCACTTTCCTTCCCTCCCCCCAGCATAGTATGCGATCTCCGAAGTAATTTTTTTCCGTAGACAGTCGGACTCCTCATTGATAGTCGGACACATCGTTAACACGCACCCTTAATCAAAACATTCAGCGGATTCCTAATATAAGATGCGCTTCTGACTGTTCTCAGTGTGTCTGGCGCGCGCAATTGGCAATTTCAAAATATTGGTTGGTTCAGATGCCAAAATCTGAGCATAACATATTTCCCCATTCCCACTTGCTTTACTTTGCTTTTGTAACTCTTTTTTGTAACTCTTTTCTTTGTTTTTGTAACTCTTTGTAAGTTTCATTGTTCTTGATTCCATAGGGGGGCAAAGGTGCCCCTTCAATTTAAAGGATTGCCTTGGCGAAATAGCGAATTGTCAAAAATGTTAGTGCAATAGTCTTTTACGAATTTGCTTCAGAAAACGCAAGAAATGCAGTCATCGAGCTTCAAGAATAGCACAATCGCCTGGTGGAGTACCCCCTCACAACCCTATCATCCAATAAATAGAAAACATGATTAGGCGAAGTTCGACTCCCGATGTTTTGCAAACATCTCTTAGTATATATCAATTCAAAAGTGCCCATTCACGAAAATCTGCCCCCCCTTGCCTTCACATCGTTCCGGCGTCCCTGGTAACAGAGTGGACATTACCTCATCTACAGAATACGAAGAAACTGCTTTGCGTATAGCACACGAAACACAACTAGAAAAAAGTCCGCCAGATATATATTTAGAGCGAGAGCTAGTGGTTTTTATCAAGTCATGTTCGACGGTTGGAAATAATCTGGCGGCCTTTTTGTAGTTTTGTATATGGTGTGCTATACAAAATCAGTTTCTTTGCGTACTGTAGATGAGGTAATACCACTTGGATCACTTCCCTTGTGGTCGTTCGAGCACTCTGGCCTCATTGCGCTCTGCGCATGTCTGGATGGGTTGATATCGTCGTGTTGTACGACATGCCTTAAAATTGGTGAGAGCAAACTCATGTGATATAAATACGAACGTATCACGTATTAAGACGTGTACCAAGCCGCACTCATAAGGCGTAGAACGTCGAAACATGCATGCATGTCTGCAAATTATATATACGAATGTGGTTTGGTTCACGAAATGCTAAAGAGTGCTCGATATCATATAGATAGAGCCGAAATAGTCGTTTTACCTCAAAAGGTTGCCTTAACAGCTTGTTTCATCCAAGAGGGATCATCATTCATCAGGTGGCTGACAAATTTTGAAAAGTGGGCTGCTTAATACGACGATATCAGCGCATCCATGCAGGCATGCGCAGAGTGTAATGGGACCAGAGTGCTTAAAACGACTACAAGGGAAGCGAGCTTTGCATTATCGCTAATAGACATCCATGCATTAACAACTCCGCAGAGGGATAAGCAACACCGAAGTGAAGGAGCGTAATATATTTTCTTTATTTAATATATTCGTCCAAATCAGTTTATAAAATTAACAATTTAAATAGAAAATATTTACAATAGTAGGGCTAGGAACCTTCTAGAAACCATAAGGCTTTTGTTTAAGTTCCCTAGTTACAATTCAAATGATATTATACGGTGATATATTTACAATAAGGAAAGTGCATGCGTAAAAGATATATCAGACTATAACAACTATTTGGCTTTTCACTTTGTGCCAAGAATTCTACTTATTTAAATTTGACAGAAGAAAATATATTTTCATTCTAGATTTAAATATTGGAAGAGATTTAATTTGCTTATATTGCGACGGAAGATTATTCCACACATCGATGCCGTTATTACCGAGCGTGTGTTTTTTATAGTTTGTTCTAGTACAACTTTTATGGAGCAATGATGCGTTTCTTGTGTTATAATTATGGATTTCTTTGTTAGTTAAAAAATATTTATTAAAAATTTCTGGAAGATTTTGTGGATGAAAATATCGGAACATAAATAGACTTGTTAAAAAATCATTCAATTTATAGAAGTTTAGTATTTTAAGGTCATTAAAAATTGGTTCAGTATGGTCAAAATATGATTTGAAGGTCATTAATCTTACTATACTATCTTTTTCTGGATATTTACTAATTTTTGAATGTGGGATTTGTAAGCGTTACCCCAAACTAAATTACAGTATATAAGATATGGATAGACCAATGCGTAATAGATCAGTTTTAAGGTATAATGTCGTATTCTGGATATAATAGCTGTACATTTGATAATTCGTTTTGAAATAAGATCTATATGATCGCACCATGATAAAAATTTATCTATAACAACCCCTAAAACTTATTTTATAGTTTCGCTATTTATAGAAATTCTTAAATCATATTTAGGTTTCTTATTTTTTGATCTGAAAAGGATCAGCGTGGTTTTCGCAGTGTTTATAGATAATTTGTTAACATTCAACCAATTTGTAATTTTGTTCATTTCAACTTGAACAGTTTCGTTTAAAGTTTTGAGACAGACATCGCTATACAGTATGTTAGTGTCAGCGGCAAATAATATAATTGAAACCAATTTACTGCAATATTGAATATCATTTATGTATAGGAGAAATAATATAGGACCTAAAACTGATCCTTGTGGCACACCGCTTGCGATAGTCATTTCTTCAGATTGTACTCCGTTATATTTTACATATTGTTTTCTATAAAATAGATAATTTTCAAACCAATTTTTTGCTATTCCTCGTATACCATAATGTTCCAATTTTCTTATCAGAATCTTGTGATTAATTGTGTCAAACGCTTTTGACAAATCAAGGAAGATACCAACAGTGAACTTCCCGCCCTTCTTCGATTGCTTTAGTGATTTTATCAACAAAATCAAGTACAGCAAGTTCTGTTGATCTGTTACGTCTGAAACCATACTGATGTTTTGATAATATCTTGTTCTTATCAATAAAATTTATTAGTCTCTTTATCATAAGCTTTTCCAGTAGTTTAGAGAAACAAGTAAGGACTGACATAGGTCGGTAATTTTCAAATCTATTTTCTTCATTGCCTTTAAAAATTGGCGTAACTAATGCGATTTTTAAATTATCTGGAATAATTCCTGATGAAAATGGTAAGTTAAAAATATGTGTTGATGGCTTAGAAATTTCCTTAGCAGTTATTATTGCGATGTTAGCATTAATACCATCATATCCAGAACTTTTGTTCAACTTCATATTTTCAAGTTCTAATTCAAGTTCATGTTCCGTAATCGCACTTAGAAAAAGTTTGACTGATAACTGCCAGAAAGATATTTTTCAAAACTCTCATTTTCATTGTGTTTCATTTTTTGCTAGAGTAGGACCTATGTTAATAAAGTAGTCATTGAATTTGCTAGCTATTTCATTCGGGTCTTGATGAACAACTTTCTACAAACGTTTTTGATAGTTTTATATCTTTAGATGGTTTATTTAGTTGTTCATTTAGCGTTTTCCACATCATCAATTTTTCTTGTATTTCATTAACTGTTCTTCATAATAAATTTTCTTTGCAATTTTTATGATATGGTTTAGTTTATTTTTATATTTTATGTATTTTTGCCTATTTTTATTATTTAGATTTTTAAGAAGGGTTTTGCATAATTTATTTTTATTTTTGACTGACTTTAATATACACCTAGTCATCCATGGACTCTTTATTTTATTTATTTTTGTTTTGTTTTGTTTTCTTTTCTGTTAAGTGGAAAATTTGCCTCATATATACCCATAAATAATTTCAAAAACTCATTATAAGCCTTTTCAGGGTCATTAGATTCTTTTGATACTTCATTCCAGGAAATATTTTTAACTGCGTCTTTGAGCGATTCTATATGTTAGCTTTAATATATTCTCCTTGATAGGTTACTGTAGTATCATTTGTGTTTCTGTTTTTATCCAATATAATTGAATTAAAAATATGCACAATAGGTAAATGGTCTGAAATATCGCTAAAAACAACACCATTTACACTATCATTAAGTTTTTCTAAATTATTTGTGAAAATATTATCAATTAGCGTTGCAGTGTCGTCAGTTATTCATGTTGCTTTAGTGATTAATGGAAAAAAGGACGATGTGAATAATTGTTCGGCAAATTGACCAGCGTAATCACAAGACTTTGATTTGAAAAGATTAATGTTAAAATCACCCATTAAATAACAGATCTTATTTTCTCTGTCAATTTTTTCAAAGATTATGTTCATAGTATTTTTAAACGTAAGAAAATCTCCGCTTGGTGGTCTATAAATAACCCCCAACAATAAGATTTTTACCATTATCATTTATAATTTTAATAAATTTAGTTTCAATTATACCTCCAAAATTTTTGGTTAAGTCGTTCCGAGATTTATGCTCTAATTGTTTTGACACCTATTAGAACCAAAGTAAAGCAATTCACAATATTCTCATTTAGCCATGTCTCAGTAAGTACAATTATCTGAAAAGGTATATTCAAAGTATCAATCAAATTTTTTAAAGAGTCAAATTTGTTCGAAATACTTCGTATGTTTAAATGCATTAATGAAAATTTTGCTTGTATATTTTCGCATTCTATTCGTATATCTGAACTCCCAACAGGAATTGAACCCGTGTCTCCTGATTGCCGGTTTCAGTGGTTGTTTCACCATTATAGACTATAGGGTTTAGAGAACAATGCGATGTTAACTTTAAAAAGCAAGTTACAATGAGACATGCAGTTCACTATGACATACAAAGTGTTAGCTATATTGCTACCTCTCGTCGGTTACATTTAACAATAGCGTATGCTTCTTGTCGCAAAGGTTTACTTCTCCAAAAGAACACAATCGAATTTAAACTCGAGTTTAGCATGCAGAATGAGTGTTTTCGCCCAAACAACAACCAATACTCCCAAGTCTTTTTGAAACTTAAAAGCACCACTCGTAGTTATACCGGATGGTAAATAACAAATAACAAAAGATATCACGGCAAGAAAGCAAGATTTTGCCAGCTTGCTATTTAACATGGTCTTTCGTTGTTGGTCCGTCAATCTGTTATATAAATTTGCGTCTTGGCGTCCCTCGGTTATATTTATGAAAGATTTGGTCGAATTTGCAAGATAGATTTTTATGTAAACGTACAATAAAAAGATTATGAAAGCCGCCAGTTCAGGAATAATTACGTAATTGAAAAAAGCTTGAAAACGCGACGAGAGTACTGTACCCACGAGTGCGAGGAACCAGAGGAAAATTAAACATTTCATCAGACGTTTTCGAGTCACTTTTGTTCGATGGTACAGAGGGTGACATATTTCTGCATAACGTTCCCAGCTCATGACAACCAAAGTTTTGAACGAACATCCCGAAAAAAGTAACAACAGAAATATTTGAATACGGTTTAGAAGGCATTGACTACTTTTCGAACCATATTCTTTGAACAAGATTGCGGCAAAAAGAACATTGGAAGTTAAGCCAACTATTAGGTCGTTAAATGACAGCATCATGACCATAAAATATGCCATTTTGCATTTCAAAATTCTGGATTTCATGCAAGCGACAATCGTGGTAGAATTAAGAATTGTCGTTGCAATTGCCAGACATATGTTCAATACACCAAACGCCACATAATTCCCTTCGACCAGTTTTGAGGAAGGCACGTAATCTGGACAGAATTTTAGGTCCCAGCTGTTTTTGTTTGGTGCACCTGTTGTGTCGTTCATCTAACAAATGAAAGAAATTTGTTGAGTGCACGCGGTGAGAAAACGACAATAACATTACCTATTATCGCCAATAAGCCGAACCCCCCCCCCCCCACGCCTGGAGCGGCAGAGAAACACTCCTGCGATCAATCAACACTATAATGCTGTAAGTTACCCCCACACAACGGGGGGAGGATTATGATTGGTTGAAATTTTCCTTTGTGATCACGCCGAAAATTGCATTAATTACATTGTTATTTATAATAATTCATAGATGCTTTACGTCCACCATCTTGGACTTGACATTTTTTTAATAATTTAAAATTAGTTATGCAAAATACTGCTTACGTAACTGTACGGCTTTAGTGTTGATTGATCGCCGCTCCAGGGGGGTGGTCGACTGAGATCAATTTGCTATCGCAGACTATACAGGTGAGAAAAAGACAATAACGCTTACCTATTATCGCCAATAAGCGTAACTAGTTAAGCGATTTATTAATGAAATAAGCAATTATCACAAACTCGTACTACTTATTTTGTCAACAATAAGAATATACCGCATTTTTTTACCCTCATTGAGGGTATATTGTTGCGCACTCGAATTTTAATTCTCTCTCTGTCTCTCTGTCTGTCTTTCTGTCTCTCTGTCTCTCTCTCTGTCTCTGTCTCTCTCTCTCTCTCTGTCTCTGTCTCTGTCTCTCTGTCTCTCTGTCTCTATATATATATGGGATATAAATACGAGTGTCTCACGTATCTAGAGTTGTACCAAGCGTATACGTGTACCAAACGTACGTGTACCACGAGGCGTAGAACGCCGAAACATGCATGTCTGCGGTACTACACGCTACTTCACTTCGGTGTTGTTGAGCACTCTGCGGAGTTGTTAATGGGTGTGTCTATTAGCGATAATGCAAACCTCACTTCCCTTGGGGTCGTTTGAGCTCTCTGGCCCCATCACGCTCTGCGCATGCCTGGATGCGTTGAGTCACCGTGTTGTATCACATGAGAGCAAGTTCATGAGATATAAATACGATGGTCTCACGTATCTAGACGTGTACCAAGCTGCACTGACGAGGCGTAGAACGCCGAAACATGCATGTCTGCAGTTTGTAATATATATATATATATATATATATATATATATATATATATATATATATATATATATATATATATATATATATATATATATATATATATATATATGTACTATTTAAAACACAAGTGCTTTAAATGCCTTCAAAAACGACTCATCTTATACGAGTTCATTGGCGAAGTAATTTTTAAAATAAACGTTGTCTATAAACGGAGAAAATCAAAGCTATAGTTTAAGTAAATTAACATGATTTTTTATCACATATAAAAACACGACACGCTTATGATTTTTCTTTGTGTTTTGCTCCTGAATAATTAATGAGTTTTTGAAATGCCGCGGCAGACAACATCTTTCTGCTTGGGCTGGGTGTGGAAATTATATAATACACACTCTAGAACATTTTTATCTTGATATATTTATATAATACACACTCTAGAACATTTTTATCTTGATATATATATATATATATATATATATATATATATATATATATATATATATATATATATATTAAAAGATTAAAATTTTCTTGTCACTAGCTATATAGAAACGTAATTACGTTTATAAAAAGTTTTACAAGACGTTTCGATCAGAAACCTCCGATCTTCGTCAGTTGATATTAAAAACTAAGAAGCCAATAAACAGGCTACTATTTACCATAAACAGCCAATTAAACGATTAGAATTTAATAAGGTATTATATAGTATAAGCTATTGCATGCAAGGTGCCATGTTTTCTTCATAATTGCTTCCAGTCTATAATCGATATATCATTACTATAACTTGTTGGTCTTTATAAAATAAAAATATACCTCTTCCTTAAACTAAGAAATTTTAAAGAGAAAATATTTCTAAAATAAGAAATTGAGTTTTCTTATTTTAAGAAATATCTCATGATTTTCTTAAGATTTTCTTAAGAAAAAAATTCTTAAGAAAATTAGTAAGAAAATTTTCTTACCAGTCTCCCAAGAAAATTTGGACTTATTTTAAGAAAATTTTCTTAAAATAAGAAATTTTATAGGAAAAAATCTTCTTAAAATAAGAAAATGGTAATCTTATTTTAAGAAAAA